ATCCCAAGACTAAGCTCATAAAGATAAATACTAAACTTCAGGTTTGTTTTTAAACTAGCCCGTTCAAGTCTATGTGACACGTTCAACAAACATATTTGTTCGAAATGCTGGCAAATTGACTTTCCATTTATACTACAAGCTATTGTGGTTAACCTGATCCTCTGGTTTGTGTATGAAATTTATACCTCGTCCCCATGCACCGCGTGTGCTACCCACTACAACCAGTGAAAACATTGTTTAAGAATTCATATAGCAACGGTATGCCTAAGTAATATTATATTCACAAGTATCGTATAAGTTCTAAGTTATCCAATATGCAAAGAATATTGTCAAGTGAAAGTGTGGGATCTGAAAGGGGATGATTCTGGTGCCTTTTTTATAAATATGGGATCAACATTTGGAAGAACATACTCTGGAATCTAACAGATTAAATGTAAATTATCCGATTCTATCTAAAGCTCTAACATTAATACTTAGATTTAAAATAACAGCAAAGCGTCACACAAACAGTGTCTTCACTTTTTAACTAGGTAGAAGGACATTGTTGTTAAGTGTCATTTTATTAGATAGTGAAAGGACATTAGAAAGAGGGCAAATAAATACGAATGCCTATATGATTCCTGTCATGTAACGCCAGAGCTTGCGATTCAGCGCACGCGCGGCTTTCACTGCCGCCACGACCATCGTATCCTGCTCTACGCAGTACCTACGACCCCATGTGTTAGTGATGACACGTAAATACTCTCCGAATATTTGTTTAATTTTCTAATTTAATTGTAAATTACGTTGCAATTTTTACTTTTAGACATTTATGTTATAATGTATTTTTATGTTTTTAACGGCTGCAATCTCCATAAAATACCTACAACCTAAGAATGACTACTCTACTAAGCAGGTGCCTACTTGAAATATCATAATTTATATGAAAAGAATGAACCTACCTATAAAAGTAAGAACGGTCTTTAACATGGTCTTTAAAAATAATAAACTGAAGCTAATTTAAAAGTTTTAAAATGGACCACCAATACACACTACACTATACACAGAATTAGTCGTCATTAAGATCATTTGGGAACATATAAGAATTCACTAAAGTCACGTAGCTCGTTAACACACATTTTCTTCCTTTATAACTACCGATCAACATTTTTTCCATAACGAGTTATTGAGGTCAGGTCTTTCGAGTTATAACAAGGAGGATGGTTTCATATATTAAATTAGCTCGTCTTTCTTCCCGCAAAGCCGACAGCCGACCGGTATTTTAACGAGCGGTGTTTAATATGTGACCCTTTCCCGAAAACCAATTTAACTACTTGTATTATAAATACAAATAGGTACATGCAAAAATATTATTTTCATTTAAATTTTGCAAACAGAACAATGACTCTGATTATTATTAAAAACTTGTTATTATACAATGATTAACGCCTCACTCAGTGTTTTGTGTTCAACATTCCTAATTGTTTCTTCATTTTTACAGAGGTCAAGCAATATGTACGTGTGGATCATTTTGAGCTGGCTCTTTGGGCTAGCTTCTCCTAACCCCGATGCTGTCGACACCATTTCACTGAAACACATTGCGAATCTATCTTGTAAGTGCACACCTACCTTAAGTGATAATCTTAATCCAATATCCGTGTTAACTTTAAGTAGCAATACTTTATTATTTCTTTACGTTACTTACAGACGAAGCATCAAATGATGATCTCAGCTCGGTGGCTTCAATTTTCTCCCCACGTATGGACTTTGATCAATGGAAACCTTTGACTGGTCGAGGGGATCCATTAAGAAATGATCCTACTTACGACTACGAACCACCTGTATTGGAACGCGTGCACTACTGGGCTGACGACACTCGGCTCGAGCGCGAGCACTATCCCGAGAGAAAGTCTGAAGTTCTCATGCTTGGAGTGTCGTCTCGCAGGCCGAGCGTCGCGCCGCGCCAGCCGCCGCCCCAGCGGCACCAGCGCTTGCCTGTGCCGCCCAAGTATGAAGATTACTCGTACAAACTTAATGAGCACTATCCTATGACTATACTTGTACCACCTCCGCCACCGCCACCAGGACATCAACCATCTCCGTATGTACTAACTGAAAAAGTACCAGTATCAAACCCACCGGTTAAAATAACAACTCCGACAACATTTTCATCAAAGAAACCCACCACGCCAATATCAAAAAGCCCCACATCTTTGTACGCTTTGCAGGAATCGAATTTGATTTATCAATCGTCAACAACTACTCATAATTGGCTTTTAAATCAAAATAACTCTATTTCCAACATAGTGAGCAGTGATTATGCTGGATGGGGTCCTACAGCTTCTATAGAAGAGATTGAGGTAGCTAATGATACTCAAAACATAATACCCACTGATCATAACGAAATATTTAAGCAACCTTATGCATTTTATAAACCGATGCTATCAGAAGGACCGCCACCTCCACAAACTACTTCGAATTCTTTACTTCTACCGGATTTCATACCGACAGCCTTGCCACCTATAGCAACGCCACAAATATCAACATTCAGTGTCACGCTTGCAACACCGACAACAGATACCACTACAGCAGAGGTTCCAACAAGGGTAGCTCAAGATTATTTTGAAGAGACTACCACAGAAAGACAAATAGACCCGTTGACAAAACTTACATCTTCAGCCACTTTTGCTAGTTCCAAACCAGATAAAAATATATTTGATATGTTAGGTCCAATGTTGAGCATGCCGCTCGTAAATGGACCTGAGAGACCGGAAGACAATCTGTATGCCCATGCTTCTGAAAATTTACAAGTGTATAAAGAGCATCCAACCGAAGACACTCTAAACTTAGAAACTATGCAAACAATGCAACCACCTCCTGTTCCAATTACCGAAAGTACTACACAATCTGAATCATACTATACTAATCCATATATCATAAATAATCAAATGAAACATAAACCTTCGACATTTACGCACGATCCGTACCTACACATGCGTTTTACCACAGTAAAACCACCGAATAAGATAGAGGCGCACAAAGATTTAAAACCTATTTCTGAAGAGCCAGCCGTTCCGATGTATTTAATAATACAAGGTCATTCTAAAGTAAAAACATATAGCTCGAAACCCAACAGTAAAGACAATCTGGACACAATAAGTAATGAAATACCAAAACCAAATGAAACGAACGAAGTCAAACATTTGCACCCATTGCAAGACAGCAAACCTGAAAAATTAATGAAACATATAACGAGAGAAAGTCGATCAAAAAATTTAAAAACTTTAGTCGAAAGTAGTTTCGGTTCTATTGAAATTCAGGAAGCCGATGTAGGTATAAAGTATGATGTAAGTGACGGTAGCGATGTTCCTGTGGAGATATACAGAAAAGGTATTGTCGATAGTGATGAGAATTCCTACACCTCAAAGAAGCTGTTAAAACAAAGTCGTCAAAAGAGACAGATTGATTTGGAAGACCTGATTCCGTTTGATGAAGATACTATTGAAGAGTATGTGTACAACTTTCTGAACGGTAAACGAAATTCTACGGGAATAACCGGATTAATAGCACAAGCAGTGACGAGTGATGTGGCGTCTGTAGTTGATGATCTCGAGGAGGACGAGGACAACGAACAAGAAGAAGAGAGATGAATAGAAATGACGTTAAATTCATAAAAAGACTTAGTGCAAAGTGTAGCGCAATGCCAAATATAGGTTTTGGTGAATATTGTAGTTACCCACCAAATTTTTGAATTCGAATTGATGTAAGTACTCAGGCAAATGGCCTTACTATCTACATATATTCGCCGACACTTAAAAGGACAGTAATGAAAACTCTCAAATACGTAGTACAATTATTGTAGTTAATTATAAAGTACAATTTCGACATAATTAATTCGTATATGTAATAATACACGCTTAGAGCTAAATAAATAGACGTAAGTAGGTACTCTGACGATGCTATGTACTTATTATAACTAATTTATCGATAGGACTTGCGTCCCCGTTTGCACGAGGCGTACCTACCTACAAAAAATTCAAGTGTACTTTGATACCCCATAAGACAGGAGATTGCATTCAGAACTCCATCTTGTAATACTCGAATACAAATAATTCTAGTGATACTTAGTTGTTGGAACGATAATTATACCCACCAAGTTATTATTTATATACAAAAGTACTATCCCCCAAAAATAATTAGAATCCAGCTAATATGTTTGTGCACTGATGTGGGGGATTCTAACCAGCAATTACTTTACCCTTGAAGTCCATATCACGTGTATGATCATCATTTTTATAATACACGAGTTCAATAAATAAACGTTTGTTTATTATGATAAAATATTCTATGGTGGAGTTCAGCTCAAACAAACGCATAAAACATTCATGTATCTAAGTCTGTAGTTCAGTTCGGATATATTTTTGTGGTATTTTTACAAAGTAAATTTGAAAACATTTGTTTTTGTCTTTTACATCCTAATGTAAGATACAAAATCTTTAACGTTCTTTTTCATCGTATGGAAATGTCTAGCTAAAGTGAAATTGCAGCGTTAAAACGTTTATCTAATAAGTTAGGTACTGAGCTTATGACCTTATCATCTGCAGTCTGTGGACAACTTCAGAAAACTTAGCTTATTCTATTTATTATTTATTTCTATATTAAGATAAAAACTAGCATAGAAAAATATACAATTTATACATTATTTCCAACCATTTGTTTGTTTATTTTTCTGACGAGAAATCAACAACGCACACCTAAGTATAAATGAGAAAAGTTTTCCTGGCACTAAGTGCAACCAGCTATTACCAATGTCGATGGAAAATTTACTATTTTTCTAATTATGTAGGTGTACATTGAGGCATATATGTCTACAAAAAAGACGCATGCGACTTAGCGGACGCGGCCCACTGACACACACTTCTTACCATCCTTTTCGTAGAAATAGACGCAGGTAACTCTGATAAAGTGAAAGCTGCTTATAAACCGATAAAGTAGCATTTTATTGCGATACACCATAGTCTTATAGGCCAGTATGGAGTTATCAATTAAAATTAGCGAATTAATTATTGGTGCGTGATAGTTTATTTATCTTTAACTATATCAATGCTAAAGCAACTGAACAAAAAACAACTATAGCAAAGCTTTTTACTTGAAGAAAATGTGTAGAATTACACCAATCAGCTTGACAGAAACATACTTTATATTCAGCTTCAACAAATCTGAAATGGTAAGAGGAATATTTTTGTAATAATCGTGTTATTAGTTTAATAGCTGATAGAGATCTTTTTAATACTGAGGCCCTCGAGGCTAATCAAATTGTTATACCTAGATTCAAAATCGTGATATTTTGTTACGTTCTTAACTTGAGCACAAACCCGAATCGAAATGGAATTATTAAGTATTTTTCATACGTTTTGATAGAAGGGTTTTCCTCTAGCAAATTGAAAGTGTCTAAGAAGTAGGTATAATGTCGCNAAGCAACTAAACAGAAAACAACTATAGCGAAGCTTTTTACTTGAAGCAAATGTGTAGAATTACACCAATCAGCTTGACAGAAACATACTTTATATTCAGCTTCAACAAATCTGAAATGATAAGAGGAATATTTTTGTAAAAAGTGTTATTCGTGTAATAGCTGATAGAGATCTTTTTAATACTGAGGCCCTCGAGGCTAATCAAATTGTTATAGATTCAAAATCGTGATATTTTGCTACGTTCTTAACCGAATCGAAATGGAATTAGGTATTAAGTATTTTTCATACGTTTTGAAAGAAGTGTTTTCCTCTAGCAAGTTGAAAGTGTCTAAAAAGTAGGTATAATATCGCGATGGTTTTAAAAATGAAAAATGTTCTTACCTTTCATTTCTGCAAGACATAGCTCTAGTAGGAGTGGTCATAGAACGTGGAATGGGGTCATCTTTATTTGCCAGGTAGCACCCGCGCTGCACCATCCATGCGTACCGCGCTCGCGCTGTCCACGAGCGAACGAAGCACATGGCACCATCTTCAATCAAAATTTATAAAGCACAATTAAATTTCACGAAACCGGAAGAATGCTAAAACTGCTTGAGTGAGGTAACGTAGTATTATAATTTTTATTTAGATGAACTTGCGGTAAGTCTTCAAAATTTAATTAAAATAAGCTACTTAATCAATTAAATAAAAGCTTTTAGAATATAGATAAACCAGTCATCATGAATTAATTGTATAAGAATAAGCAACAATGGGATGGGATGGAGATGGAGAAGTTAAGATTAACTATTTTCACAGATGGCAAACCTCCAGTGCAGTTCACCAAAAGTTGTCTGTCGTTGACAAAGGGTTCATCTGCAGGCGTAAAATCTCCGCCACAATTCTTCCTATCCCGATGTGTAGAAGTACAGTTGTAACAAAGCAAGCTTGCTACTTCATTGAACGAATAGAATATTAATAACCAACATAATTTTATTGTCATTTGAATGAAACCTTACGCAATCCGTTGAAGAAACGGCATAAATAAGCTATAATTGATTAAACACTTTTCATCGTTTTTCCATTAAATTAATAAAAAAACAAATTGATATTGTAGTTGATTTTCCTCAAAGATGACTGACCAAATGACTGACTACCAAAGCTGACTACTGACTAGTAGGTATAGTTCCAAAATACTGGACTGTCCTGTCGATGACATTGACAGTGGGGCGCCACCGTCAATACCGGATCGCTGGTTCAGATTTTTGCCATGTTGGAAACCATATAGTTGAACGATGGTAGCGCCCCCCTGTCATTGAGTTTGGCGGGACAGTTCAGCGTGGGTCATCTATAGATGTCAGATCATGTCAGAGACAACAAAGAGAAAACTTGGTGCGCAAAGCTTTAAGGTCAGTTGAAAAGCTACCGTTTGAGGGAGAGGTAATATCTTTAATTTAAAATTACTTTGTGTGAATGTTTTACTGCTCAATTACTGCATTCATTTTACAAGGTAGGTCGGAATCAGTACTGACCCGAAATTTTTATTCAACCAAAGACTACTTACCTCAAGGGGCAAGGAGTACTGAAATGACCTTAGTCAAAGTGAGTACAACGACGTGGCATCAACAAGGGCCGGTCTTGGTAGATATCTTAACTTTATAGAAAATTAAAAAACATTAGGTATACCTAACTGCCTTTTGCTTAAATAATATGAATCTAGATCAATTCAGTCGCAAAAGCTTTCAAATAGGAATTTTTAAGTTACAGAGTACTTATTGTTATTCTATGGTACAACGCAATAACTAAGTTAGGATCCTGTGATAGTGGAGCAGTGCGGGAGAGAAAGAGTCAGGTGACTCTAAACATTATAGGAAAGAATAGAGTTGAAAAACCTTTTTTGAAAAATCTTTACATGAGAGGCATACCTGCACATGGTATAGTCATTGCACAGCGTAACCTTGCCATATATCTGCGAGTAGGTGTAAATAATCCTTTGAAGAGCAGTGGATCCTCCCCATTCATTTTATGAGAAAATGTCCCGTTGTAACATAATAGCGATTGCGACTTTGCAACGCAGATAAAACTAAACAAAACTGCATTTGTAATACAAATTAACATTAATATTCTGCCGTCGTGTCGTGACCAACACGATTTAATAAGGGGGGTCGGGAAGTATCACGTATTTTTTTCCGCAAGAAACAGAGTACCTGAATTGCGAGAAAACTGGGTTATTGTAAAATAATTTGCAAACAGATCCCTAAATCGAAAAATAATCTATTTTAAAAGACCTATCCAACGATACCCCACACCAGTAGCGGCGGGAGGGGGGGGGGGGGTGCCGCCCCGGGTGCCAAGCATCAGAGCCCCGATNAATCTAAGATTTTCTTGAATATTTAGCTTCTGGTAGGTCCCTTTTAACTGTCCAGCAGTAATCTATTAACATATTTGGGCTCCATTTGCCCTGGTACCGCATTTCCATATTAGAAATGTCCTGATAGAACCTCTCACCGTGCTCGTCTCTGTCAGCCCCTAAATTGTCAGAAAAAGATCCAGGTGCGAGTCTAAAAAATGGATCTTAAGTGGCATGTTGCAACCCAATGCTTGATATGACAATAATAGCTCGCTAACCAACTCTCTGTAGCTGTCACTCTTGTGGTTACCCAAAAAATTGCAACAACGTTTTTAAAAGCCTTCCATGTAGATTTTTTTAAATTGCTTAATTTTTCTTCAAATCTTGAATCTTTTATTAACTTTCTAATTTAAGGGCCAACAAAAATATCTTTGCATCACTTATTTTAAGGACAACACATTGACCTGAAGTGGACGGTTGTGAATTGTCGTTCTCAACAGATGTAGTTGCAACTGGTATTCGTTCTGCCAATTTTTTAAAATGAGAGACTGGTCTTATAGCTGAAGATAAGTTAGGGTAAATAACTGTGTTTTTTTTTCTTGTAATTTATACCTTTTATGTCAGTGAGACAAAAATAGCAATGAGAAACGTGATCTCGCTGTTCAGTCCATATCATGGGTCCAACAAACGGCATAGGTCGTGCAGCTTTGTTCCAGACATGAGAGGACGTTAGGCAACAGATATGAGGGCCCAGGATTTGTCATGATGGGCGACAGAAAAACCAAAACATTGATGATAACACTCCAACACAAGATTCGTAAAATTTCGTCGTTGTTTTTTTAATATAAGTTCTCCGCAGACATAACAAAAAGAGTTAGGATCATTATTATACTTCCACTACATGTTCACAGGGTTAATAAATCCAAAAAAGTGTTCAACTTCAACGACAAATATTTCTATAACGATTTACTTGTAAGCATTTCTGTTAATTTACTGCCGTAGTACTAGTTATGAGTATTACCGTATCACAACAAATATGAGGCTAATTGACATATGGCAACTGTGTTTTAATAATGCGGGTAGATTGATAAAACAAAATTAGCTATCAAAGTTCGTGTGGCAAAACTAGTGTTGANTAAACTTCAGGTTTGTTTTTAAACTAGCCCGTTCAAGTCTATGTGACACGTTCAACAAACATATTTGTTCGAAATGCTGGCAAATTGACTTTCCATTTCTACTACAAGCTATTGTGGTTAACCTGATCCTCTGGTTTGTGTATGAAATTTATTAGAGATGAAACGGATATCCGGCAACTATCCGGTAGGCCGGATATCCGGCCTAAATTTACTATCCGGCCGGATACCGGATAGTAGCTCACTATCCGGCCGGATACCGGATATTAAAAAACTACGAAAATTTCCTATAATAAAATGAAACGAATTAATCTTTGAGTTAAATATCAATTAAATGGCTTATAATAATGACGGTTTTTATCTAAAGTCCAAAAAGTTACAAAAAAGCCATATTAAGGCCTTTCAAAATTTCCTTTCTGGGCTATTCACTCTAATGACGAATACATAAATAGTAAATATATTTTATTATCGAAATATTGCCAAATAAAATAGGCGATCTTTTTTTCACTGATGGTCTGATCACATACTCGTACAGGGTGACTTTGAAATTGTTGGCATCCTTTTAATAAAGACTCATGATACATAGTGCATTCCCCAAATATGAGACAAATCCAATGAGATTTTTTGACATTATTTTAACTATGTATTTGTATTAGTGTGCTCTTAAAAAGAGTTTAAAACTATTGTCCAGTCAACAGCACATCATCATCACCTATACATTTGGTTGCAAAATAACACTTCATCATTTCAGCCATAGGACGTCCACTGCTGAACATAGGCCTCCCCCAATGCTTTCCATGTTGATCGATTGGTAGCGGCCTGCGTCCAGCGCTTCCCTGCTACCTTTACGATGTCGTCAGTCGTCGGCGCTTCCCTGCTACCTTTACGTCCCACGCTGCGTTTTCCGGTACGCGGCCTCCACTCCAGAACCATTCTGCCCCATCGGCCGTCAGTTCTGCGTACTATGTGCCCTGCCCATTGCCACTTCAGCTTGCTAATCCGTCGGGCTATGTCGGCGACTTTGGTTCGTTTACGNTATCACGTATTTTTTTTCCACAAGGCCCCGGGTGCCAATCATCAGGGGGTGACAAGTCGCGCAGATTAATACTCACTGGCGCATCTGCATGGCAAGTCTACGGGGGCAATCATGGGGGGTAAATATTAACAAAATGTAAACTAATAGTTAAAAATTGTAATAAAAGTAAAATAAGGGTTCCTTGTCAGGACTACGGAACCCTAAAAACTGGACCTAAATTGTCTTGTCGCGTTTTTCTAATATAGGTATAAGTATTAGATTTATATGAAAAAAGCATAGATTAACTCATTTACATTGCAAATAGACATTTTTTTAAATCTCACGTAAGATTATGGGGTGGGGGAGGGGGTCTGGCAAAATCTCATGAAATTTCATCAAGGCCGTAGGGGGCGGGGGGGTTGAAAAATAAATAGCCAAAATTGTCTCACGTAATTAATGAACGCCCCCTAATGAAACCAAGAGATATGATCTGTGGGTCCCGTACGTAGGGGTTACCTACGCCATATCGAATGACAAATGATCGAAAATCAAAATATCGAATACGTTTCATCGAACGATCAAAATATCGAATGCTCAAAATATCGAACGTTCAGAATATCGAACGATCAAAATATCGAACGATCAAAATATCGAAAGTCGATATAGACGTTTTTATTAAATTTCATCACGCATCATTTCTTCAAGTTTATAAATTTTGAGAATAATTTCCGTGGGGACCAATTATAAGCCTAGCCTGTCCCAAAAAGGAAAGTTCAGAAATGATGCGTGATGCGAAGGTCGATTTAGCGAAGTACGTTTTGGCGAAAAACATTCATGGTGGTACGCTGGAGCGAAAGGCCCTCCTCCCTCTAATAGGCCTTTGAATTGTATCAATTAAATAATTTATAATCTAATCAGCACAGAGGAAGTTGAAGTTGTATTTGGAAATTCAGTCATAAACAAAATTCAAAGAAATTCTTTTACTTTAATTTTTATCACAATATAACCCTTCAAGGTCAATTAAATAAGTAAATGCAGAATATCAAATTGAAAGAATATTAATTAAAACTAGCTCATATTTTTTATAATGTATTTTGTAGTTTTCATAAATTGATAACTATTCACTATCGGTGAGGTAACAACTCTTGTAGAACCAATTCTGCAAGCTATAATTCCTAAATTCACGAACTACCTGATATTTTGCAGGGCGCATCCAAGTCATCAATTTACATACAATAATATGATTCATGGTATATGAAAAATACATTGAAAATTCTAAACCGAGTTAAGGATTATTATGGCCATATACGATGACGAATGCGCCCCTCGCGAGCGTACGCGCCGCCGCGCACCTCCCTACCTGAACAGTGAAACTTTAACGCTATCTACTCTATACAAGTATGAAGCACTTAGTTACAAAACGATTGAACCAGATTGTTCACAACAACGAATCAGAGTTTTTAAGACTGAGCGACAATTTATTCGATTAACTGATAAATAAATACTGCAATAATTTGAATACAATGGCAAGATATAAGGGCAGTGTTAATCGCTACGAGTAATATTAAACTCTTTCAATATTTATATGTATACGAACAAAATATGCCCAAGTAAAAGTATTGCAATAATCATCTTATCAAAGCAAATTACTTAACTACTGAATCTAAAAATAAAGACAATTTTAAATTTTAATTGATAAAGATAGTTCTCTTCTGTAAACAAAACGTTATCACATACAGTACTGAAGCTAATTACACTATCCAATATGATGCAATACACGTGGGATTTAAACGATTTGTATGAGTGTGCGTTTACGAACCAATTTAAAAGTGATTAATATTATTATAGCGATAGCTATACATACATACGTCTTATTTATACGATTCACATAATAATTAATAGGTTTTCAGCTGAATAGGCATAACACCGGACATGACAAACTTAAAAAGGAATGAATTAATGTAGAATCTTATGTTAACAATTTATGTGCTACTGTTTTACAATTTTATTGTATGAACATGATTATGTAGAACAGTACTGATCTTTATGTCATGTTTTAAACCGAATTCACAGAATATTTAAAATACCTAAGGAATTTCAAGTGTTACAGCATTGATTGAAATTAACATTTTATATCTAGGACATAATATCATCAATTATTTATGTGATAGTAGTAAAAATATACAACTTCCTAGTTATATACATGTTGGCAATGTGTAACTTTTAAAATTCTTTGGTACTTTAAAAAATGGTCCAGTAAATACTACAGTACAGATCACTAAGGGGTCATCCATAAAGTACGTCACACGTAAAGAGGGGGGGAGGGGGTTGACAAAGTGTGACATGGTGTGACAAGGGGTGGGAGGGGTCCTAAGTTTTGTGAAATCACATTTCAATTGTTTCAAATTTTTGATATAATGTTGATTTCATAAAAAAAAGTGCTTAATTTAAATGGAAATAAAACTAATTTCGGAACTGCTGTTAATTTAATAATTTTTCGATGTGAAATTGCAAAACATGTGACGTCACACTAGGGAGGGGGGGGTCTCAGAAATGTGACCACCTGTGACAAGGACGGAGGGGGGGTCAAAAAATCGTGAAATTCGTGTGACGTACTTTATGGATGGCCCCTAATCAATATAATAAACAGTTTTAATTATTAATGCTACCGCTCAGTCTCTAAATTATGTAATGCAAAACAATACTACGTAGGTAATTTAAATACCTAGGTGATTCAATTTAAACTTACGAAATAATATTCACAATTTCACATTTCTTTTAAAACCTATAAATGCAATAGGATTTTTACAATTTATTATATCAATAAAGGAAAACATTTTTATTTATATAATGTGCTAGCTACCGCTTACATCAAGTATTTTCGATTCAACAGACAATTTTAGAGGCAGCCTACCCTAATAGAACATATCCCACTCTCGTAGCTATTATTTATTATCAACCAATCATAGCTACAATAATAATTTGTTTAATAGATATTTTTAAAATACCTGTTTAATGTAGTGGGTCCAGAAATATAAAAATTCAGAAAAATTAATAAAAGACACCCACATTATTACACACAGACATGTAAAATATGCCAGAGTTTGTTAAGGTACTTTTAAAGTATTGCCCTAGTGTACAGACCACATTAATGATGAATGAATGCAGAGAAATGGAAACAAAGATTTACAAAAAAACAAGAGTAACCACAGCAGTACCAAACCAAAAAGAATTTCAAAAGGTCGTTAAAAAATAAATTATGTCGTTATATTATTTCCTTTCCACTAGACAAATAAAAAGTGCATGTACCTAAAATCACTTAAAAAAATTTATTAATATGTATTTGATTTATTCTATGAATAAAAACTTTTAGAAAAGCATTTAATTAGTGTACTGTCATTTACATGTGCAATGTGAATTTGACAAAAATTTTATGTTTTACTAATAAATACAACACTACTAAGGAAGGACAGCTCAGTAATGCTATCACCACTAGTTGTCACCGTAACAACGCTCAGGGCCGGTCGGCGGCGGCTAGTACCCATCAAGCAACGGGAATAGTATCTGGCTCCCTGAGTTATTACCATCAGTTATGAAACTATGCAACACAGTAATATATTAATTATTTTAAAAGAATTGATAAACACTTAAGTCAATTTAATAAGATAAGAATGTAAATTGAGACATCTGATTTATAAACAAATGTTTAGTTTCTTGGACGTTTAAAGAGTACTCCAGATATTATTCTCGTTGAATGTGACTTGCAATGAGGGGCGAACGCCTAGCTGACAGTCCAGTCCAGGCCCCAGCGCTCTGACACCTTCAGTTGTGCAGCTGCTGCGTCTTTAAGAGAGAACAAGTGTGTCATCTCTAGTTCCGTTTTAGCTAAAGCTATAGCTTTCTCAAACAGTTCAAGCGACCGCCTCAAGTTTCCCCTGAAATATAAGAAATAAAATATATTTAAATATCAGTTAGCAAAGTACAAAAGAAATAGAATTGGCGATGAATTTTTTTAGTATGGCTTTTTCTCAACATTAAATAATTTAGTGTTGACTGCAAAATCTAGTACAATACTAAGATTCAACCAGGTTCTTTTAAGACCATTAGGACCATGACTAATCATACAGTATCAAGAAATCAAGATGCAAGATCTACAATCAAACTCACACCTTAAAAGCAATGTTATAATGATAACCAACATAACATAATGGCTAAGATAACTCAGATAAAATTTATCAAGAAAAGGAAAATCCTTCATATTTTTACATTAATAAATGTGGCAGTGTCATAACTTTATTCAAAATTATTAGTTCAGAATTAAAGGTTGTTTTTTGCTGTAATTACCTCTGTACTTCTATGGTGCCAAGTGTTTCATATGCAAAATCACATTTGTCATCCATTTCAATAGCTTTGTTAATAAGTTTAACTGCTTTTTCAAAGTCTGTATTCTTCTGTAGTTGTACCAATCCTTTGTGGACATACAGTGTAGCATTGTTTGGATCTACTGCCAATGCAGAATCAAACAGTGCTTCAGCACGGCCCCATTCTTGCTGGTCAGACAGAACTTGAGCAAACAGGATGTAGGCCTCGGCACACCGCGGGAACCTCTCCAGGGCGTGCTCGAAGTCTGCTCGCACCTGGTTTAATGCACCAACATTCTTGTTTATCTGAGCATGCCTATAGTCAGCATAACATTTCTGAATATAGGCGATGGAAAAGTCAGGATTTAATTCAACTGCTTTTGCAAATTCAGCAGTTGCTTCATCCATGCGCTCCAATAACAAATACACTTGACCTCGGTGGTGGTAGATGTCAGAATTGTTTGGGTCTAATTGGGCAGCTCGTGCAAAATCTTCCAAGCAACGTTCTGTGTTCTCCAGCTGGGTGTACAGGGATGCACGCTTAATCAGTGCATTCACCTTCACTTTGACTGATGCATCACTGTCTATTACTTTGACCAAATCAGCCTGAGCTTCATCGTGGCGTCCAAGCAGCAGATAGAAAGTAGCGCGTAGGAGTAAAGCTTCATTTTTATACTTTCCATTAGCTTCCAGCTCTTCAGTGCAAGCATCAACAATAGAATCATAGTCCTGAGCATCAAGAGCATGTTTAGCTTTAGAAAATCCACCAGTAGCCTTCTCTTCCAATTGAATTTTAGTAATGGGATCCTCAGAAAATGCTGAAAAGTATGTTTTAATGAAATGCTTAGAGGGCATGACCGGGTGCCGTCTCGCCAGCGCTTCGCGGGCGTGTTGCCGACCCAGAGCTTTGAGGATGCGATCCGCGTTGACTAGAGAACTCTGGACCTGGAATCTCTCCAGAATACATGCCGAAGTTACATCTTCCAAGGCAAGAACCAGATCACCACTCTTTTCGGCTGCACGTGAGCGACGCAGGAAGGCTTTAACATATTTCTCATTCAACTTAAGCGCAAAGGTGCAATCCTCTTTTACCTGTTCCCACATTTCTCTTTTCTCATAGCAGGCAGATCGATTCTGATAGAATGTGGCCAGATCCACTGGACGGTCCGGTGGGCAAGCTTCAATAGCTTCATTGTACAGAGAGATAGCTTTATCGTATTCACCAGCATGGAAGGCACGGTTTCCGGCACCTTTCAACTTCATAGCACGGTCGATGGCATTTTCCGAAGTTTTGGCATTATTTTCTTCATTATCCAATGAAATAGTAGTCTTGGCCTTTAAATCAGCTACTTTTTTCTTTTCTGGGTCTTCTAATCTATTTCTTAGATAAAGGTAACCTAAGCCAATGGCCAAAGGTGCACCGAGTAGAATGGCTAGTTGCCATTTAGGAAATGGTGTACTGCCGGTCGAAGCCATATCCTCACGAACACTACTTCAAACGATATTCAACATAAACGATTCACCATTTACTTTTTCAAACACGTAAAGTAATAACTGTACTCTAAATTTTAATCATTACTTCCATTTCTTTAAAACCTTGGCCCTCGATGCAGCAAGGAGCGATTACGGACGGCTGGCAAGCAAGCAAAGACAATTTTTTGACATTATAGCTTTTTTATGTCAAGAATCATGTGCAGATTTCCTGCCAGTATAAAAAATAAATTTACCACCAAAGATATTTAAACAGATAGATTAAACTTACCGCCCGCGGGCATGCCACCTGGGCACAGACCCGGGTGGAAATCCAAGGTTGGATTCAACCTTTAATCTCCGAAGGAACTTGGAAATTACTTGTCACTTAATGGAGGTACTATGAATAAATGCATGCTAGCCGACTATGCAGTACTTGTGTTTGCAACAAATTAATTTCTAGCTTCAGTCAACCAAACAACACAAAGTTTCAAGTTTTCTGGGCCCTGTGGATAGAGATGGGTTTCCACCCGGGTAAAAACCCACATGAGGGTAAAAACCCAATAAAAACCCGTTTCATTCCACCCGTGGGTGTTTACACCGGGTGAAAACAAATAATTTTGTAATTATTTCAATTGGTATCTTTTCTTTATTTTTATTGAATTTTTCTCATTTAAGTTTATTGATTAATAAGTAATAAGTTAAATTTAATACTAATATGCATTTATATCGTGGCCAAATCGTAAAATTGATCACGTTATGATGATGTGACCAATTATTTTATAAAATGATGTTATTTCAAGAATCGTTGAACCGATTTAGAAGAAATTTAGTAGGAACACAATAATTTGTGATCATGGCAAGGACATGGAGGGAGGGTGCCAAAGATGCCAAACTCTCTCTTTGATGACATTACGGTATAAAGTTACAAATAACAACACCAACTACAAAGTACTTCTGCTTAAAAACTTGAAATCCAACCGCCCTTCCGCCACTGTAACACATTGTGACGTTTTTCAAGACCTCCTCTCCCCCCAGATTGCATTACATATCACTAGAATGCCCCCTTAGCAACAAATACCATTTCTCACTTTAAAAAAAACGCTATTTTTGTTTTCACCCACCAAAATGGGTGATAATGGGTAAAAACCGGGTTTTTACCCAAATCACCCAGTTTTAACCCAATCGGGTGAAATGGGTTTTTACCCACTACCCATCTCTAATTACAGCTAGTTTATTCGATATTTGAACATGAATGTGCAATGTATTCTGTGTTCTTTATTCAAATAAGCTACATCAGTGTGAGTAAGTACGGGTTCGCCTCAACTGTCACTGCGTGACTTCTATTTTATACTTCGCTGAATTTTAAAATTGGCATGGCATGCAACTTTGGTAGGAGGGCATCACTAACTATTTTAAAAAAATATGCTTTAAAAATATTCATAGGTCAATGATGATTTTCAAGCTGTCAGGAAGTCAGGATGCCAACCGTAAGAAACTTAAAAAAAAAGAAAGTGTCATAAACGTCAAAATCGTCCACCATGATTTGACAACTTTGTTTTTTTGTTCATATCGCAAATATTGCCGACTGCTCTTGTTTGTACCGTAAAATTTAGAAACAATAGTGATACCAATGGCTATACCAGAATATAAACTTAGTGCTGTATTATGTGGTCACTCTTTGGATGTACGATGTGTCTCTACGACAAAAGAAAACTGTATATTATCAGCTTCTCGTGATAGGACTGCAAAGCTATGGCACCCGGAAGGGTAAGATATAGTTCTGTATACTTGTGAAGCAGAGAAAGGGTTACTTATATACTAAATAATATTTTCTTTTATAGGATCAAGGATTTCGTGAACGTAGTGACGTACAAAGGTCACAAAAACTTTGTCTCGTGCGTTTGTTGGTTACCACCCTGCGAAGCGTATCCTGAGGGTTTAGTGATAACGGGGAGTAACGACAACACCATTCTTGGGTATAACCTGCAAGATGCGATGATCCAGATCACGCTGGAAGGCCACGAGAACGCTGTGTGCAGTGTGGCACCTGGTAGAGACTCAGGAATACTTCTAAGGCAAGTATTTGAAGCACTTGTGAAGTGTATTTTTATTGTACAGATGACAGCACATCATGGTAAATACTGTGAAATTTTAATAAGTTGTGACAGGGGATTTTCCAACCAAAATGTCTGTCCTGCTTTTTCTGCCCATTTTGATTGGAGAATTGGGGATTCCCCGTCAGGTCATATGACTGCTCTATGGGGATTCCCTCAATTGTTTCATGGTTTATCTTACCTGGCAGCCATAGGTATTGTTAGAAATGTTTAGTGGAGAATAACACTTTATTTTTAACAATTTCCAATTGGTTTTCACTGAAACTTATTACAAGTTTCATGTTATTTTAATTTCTAAAGGATTTTAATAATTGGATCTGGACCAATAATACGCTCTGTTTATAATTATTTTCAAAATGTACTCACTCACATCCAGGGTTCGNCTCGATTACTGAACCATGCCTCTCAAAATAATTCAACAAACTTATCTATACATTGTTAACTGTTTAAGTGTTATTTAGTTTGAAGTTGCATGCTAGCCGACTATGCAGTACTTGTGTTTGCAACAAATTAATTTCTAGCTTCAGTCAACCAAACAACACAAAGTTTCAAGTGTTCTGGGCCCTGTGGATCGACGCGCTACGCCCGCGCGCCCATTTGGTTGGAGCCACATTTTGTCCGTTGTGATTTTATAATAATAGTTACTTTGTCTTTGGCAAATCTGACAACTATTAAAAAGCAAAGCTGTCAACTATTAAAAAGCAAATTGTCAAAAATGTCAACTCTATGACATAACCTTTTTGTGGAATTACGGTTCCAATTATTTCTAAAAATTTGAATTGAATTAAAAATGAACTAAAAGCACTATCCCAAATACAGAACACGTAATAATAATCCCAAGGGTCTGCTCTAGTTAATTTGTTGTAAGCTACCATTACCTACGTTTTAAATTATCTTAAAAAAATTAAACATTCGTTAGAATGCTGGGAACAAAGTTAATAAAGTTTGTAAGTCTATTCTATTGTTTTTAATTATTGAAAACAAAATTGTTTAGTATCCCTATCGTCTGCATAAACATATATTATCAGTATTTAACAATCAACTGACCGCCAGTGACCCTTAATTGTATATACTTACTGTTTATTAAAACAAATCTTAACATGATTTAACATTTTACTTGAATCTTACAGAAAATTCTTTATTTGCTGAGAAACTGCTGATACTGGTTAGAATTCATAACTCACCCAAAACAGTTAAAGTGAACTATCGTTGGTTCGTTTTGTTACAGGTAATGAGAAATAATATATTGAAACAAAACAAATTAGCAACAATATCATCATCTTTGCAATGTCAACAACTGCGATACAAAAGTGATCTCTATGAGCCAGATTATCTCATTGTAAGTAAATAATATTTTTAATTATAGTTCCTTACTATTTAATACTAATTATTTTAGTAGAAGAATGTGTTTCTTTAATTGGCTTATGTTCAAGTTGTATCTTCCTGCATGTGTATATAACAATCAAATGTTTTTGAAACATTGTTAAACAAACAATAATAATACATACATACACTCCAAAAACATAACAAATAAATAAATAACCTTCCTTCTGGCGCAGTCAGGTAAATACTTACATTATCACACATTTATAACTTTACTGTTATTATTGTTTCAGAGTATGGAACCTGATGAGCCAGTATATGATTGCCTGAATTTGCAATTAAAAGGATATGATTTTGCATTGTTAGAAGCTTGCCAGAGTCAAATCCACAGATATGCTGAAGTCATGGGTCTCACAGTTGATGAATGGTATTAGTTATGATTTTGAATATGATATGCATGCACAACCTGTATTATTAATTAAATATAATATTAACTTCTAAAGTATTACGTTTGAATAGTAAATCCATACACAAAATAGTGTTTTCTTCATCCTATCCTAAGTTGTATGAGGCAACAGCTGATATTTGCTTATTTTTTCCATTGTATAAACAGTTGGGCGACACCAGCACAACAACTCAAAGTGCAGCGTTTCAAACCTAAAGGAACTGCAGTAGATGCTGAATATCACTTAAATATTTATGAAAGAAATGTACAGGTAAATGCTCAATATCATACTTAGAAACTTACATTGCATCTTTCTGTTTACCTGCATAAGTTGGCTTATTCTACTGAACTTTTTGTTCACTATTCCCCGTTAGTGCCAATTGGAGCTTTATAATGGGGAATAATGAACTAAAAAGTTCATTAATCCCTGTTATATTAGGATTATTTTGAACGTAATGGGGATTTATGAACTTTTTAGTTTATGATTCCCCATTATAAGTTCCAAATTAAAGTTAATGGGGAATAGTGAACAAAAAGTTCACTTATACTTAATAGTGGAATAAGCCCATAAGTTGATTAATATGCAAAGATATTACATCATCATATAGATAGTACATCAGCAAAAAGTAATACCGTAATAATTATGCGTAATATCAATATTTCTTCGATATATTTGCATGCTATTGTTGATGGCTGGATAGGTGATCATATTTTGATATTTTCGACCTTCTGTACACCCTATTCAAAGACAAATAAATATTTCTATTTACATTCATAAGTATTTTGAATTTTTACTCTGAATTTGCACTTCAAACTTAGTACTACAAGAGTAGAGTAGTAAATACAAGAGTGATCTCTTCCTTACAGCCAGAGAGGCAAAAAGGATAAATTATGTTTAAAATAAAAAGGAAGGTGGTGAAGAACCATATAACATTAACATACCTTTATAAATGAAAATAAGCCCTAAGAGTAGGCGCACACCGTTGATTTTTAGTTGGCCGATAGTTGTGCCCGATTTTAAATTGTATGAAGAATCGGCCAAATCGAATCGGCGTAGTGTGCGCACTCCCATACATGCCCATACTGATCAACTGCCCGCAATTCCGCGCACACCTCCCGCGATTCTGCCAGTATAACCGCAAGGTTGGTATGGCCATGGGTGATCAACTGCCCGACTAAACTATCGGCCGAAGAAAAATCAACGGTGTGCGCCTACTCTTACTTTATCTAAACTAAACATTGTAAGGTGAGCGACGTGCCGGCCTGGGCGCTGGGCACGCTTCTGCGCGTGGCGCGCGCGAGCCTGCCCGAGGGCTGCTCGCTGCGCGTGCACGAGCACGCCGTCGAGCACGAGGAGGTGCGCTACGTGCCCGACAACCAGCTGCGCGAGCTCAAACAGCAACTCGAAGACATGGGCGGCAGCCGCGCCGACAAGAAGAAGAGAAAGTAGCGCGTGTGTCGATTTATTAAATAGTGCGTTATAGATCGTTTCATCCACGAAGACGCGCCTCATCATTCTTCCGTTAGGCGGGTTTTAGAATCGCGCTGACCGCTCGCTGATCGTCCGCGCTGACAAATNCTGACAAACAAAATGTATGTAATTAAAGGGAACGTTCCTGAGTGACGCTGATCGCTCGGCGCCGACGCTTCATACATTTCGGCTGTCAGCGCTGACGGTCAGCGTGACTCTAAAAGCAGCCTTAATGTTTGAGTGTTATCGGTACACGCTAAATCATCCATGAGTGCACACGCACACTACAATAATGACGCTCGGATTACTCAGATCAAACTCACCGCGGGTGCGGGGGAGGGTTCCCTCGATCGAAAATTGGTGGGGTGCGTCTTCGTGGATGAAACGAACTGTAATTGAGTGTTATCTAGTTGTTTCAGGAAATAAATATTTATGATTAGTACGGATATTGTTTTTTTTTTCCTTATTACGCGACAGTGAGACAAATACGATAACGCAGTAGCGCAGTTCCTTTGCTCAAAAAGGAAATCACAGATTTTGTAAAAAAAAATCTAAGGAATACGTTAAAAACTTACAGACCACGGCACAGGAGTTCACAGGACACATCAAGCTAGACTGGGACATTTTTACCCCTACTGTTTGTTTAAGGAATTACGTAGTTTATTCGTGCTCAGGGCACAATACTTACTTAGTCCGTGATTTGACCGGAAGTGAAAGATTTTCTCAATCTTCCGGCAAATGCCAGACGCGTTAATCCTCTCTCATCTCAGCACAATACGACTGATACGACTATCTATTGTGTAAACGACAGTCAACGTACTCGTATTCCGGTATATTTATCTGTTCAGCGTCGATTCTTGAGAGGTCTGTGCTGTAGACTGGGACTTAGACGCAAGTTACCTAGTTATGAGGATAGACTTCGGGAGTTTGGAATGAGCAGTTTGGAAGACCGTCGGGATGTAGTAGATCTTTGCACCTTGCATAAAGTAGTGAATGGTGCACTCGACTCTTCACTGCTTCAAAAGATACTGTTTAGGGTTCCGAAGCGTTCAGTGCGTCGACCTCAGCTGTTTCATGTACCACTCGCTACAAATAATGTCTCAGTAAATCACCCTATTTACAGAATGTGCAGGGCCTACAATAGTCTTGACGTTGACAAGGACATATTCCAGTATACATTTCAGGTTTTTAAAAATAAATTAAGAAATGCTGATTAGATTGTTGGATTAGTTGTTGTTGTAGCTAACATTAGTTTTTGTTGTTTTATCTAAGCACTTAAGTTATTAGGCATAGTTGTGTGCAGTTGTAATTGGTCCATAGATTTGTAAGTGATTTGTAGCTGTATTTTTTTTTACTAAATAAGTAGTGTAACTGTACTGTAACTGTACCTATTAATAAATAAATAAATAAATTTATTTTAAAAAAAATCATCGTCTTTAATTTATCGACAGTGCTGCAAATGCAATACAATGATTACCTACGTCGTCTAGGCAGGCTCTGCAGGTGGACAACCATCATCTGTGTAATTATTATTTATTTGGTAAATGCATCAAAATAATAATTGTTATTCCTTCAAATCAGGCACATTAATTGTATGAGCTTTACGCAATTGCGTAAGTTGTAAAATACGATGTTCCTAAAACGGGGATTAATGGCACATACGGCCTTGGTTCGCCGCTCCCATAGTACCTATCTAATTATTTATATTCATACCACATGCATGCCGTCTGCTAAATCTGTTCGTATTAGGTAAACACTGAGCCAGTGTGCCTAAACCCTAATTTTAGTTGCGAGAGAATTGTTTGCTTGCTAGCTATAATTACTTAATGGAAGCCTAACCAGTGTACGAAACCCGCTTTGTTTGTTGTTATAATAATGTGTATTTAGGTACCTACCTACGTCGTTTCTACTTTTAAAATTGTTACAGTTCTTGCACAAACACCTATTTTATAAGACTGGGTTAATTTGTCACAAAAATTGTACGGTTCCGTAATAAAACAACAAGGAATTGTAGTTTTGAGTATGGGAATAGTATTTATTTATGATATCTACTACTACTTTTAAGTACATAGATCCCTTTAAAATATTGCTATTGTAAAATCTAGTTTATTTCTTTCTTGACAATTATAGGAATTCTTTTAAACTTATTTTCAACAAAGGGCGAGCTTAATGCCATTTGGCATTCTCCTACACTTCAGGGCCAATCAAAAATTAGAGTAGTCGGTTAATATGTAATAGTGAATCATAATTGAAACATCAAAACAAGTCATTATTTTGAAAGGTGCACGCATAAAACACAGCCAAAGTTTGTGCAACGCACGACGTAGCTGTAATGTAATACAATACAGACTCTGTAATCATTTGATAGTGCTTGTGATAGGCAATCCTTTCCCTCCTTCAGTAAAATGACCGTCGGTCTTCCGAGTGGTGCTTGGCATTGCGACAGACTTTAAGCCACAACAGAGGAGTATAAAGTAGGTATACCTACTTAGTTAATAATTCTAAGTAAAAAACTGTTCTCTACTCTAGTGGAGAATGTGAGTGATGAAGGTCTCAAAGACACTTTGTTTTGCACTCCGCTCGCTTTCATATGAAAGCAAGTGATAACAGCTTCGAATGCGGTAATTTGAAATATTGTGATAAACTCAACAAAATCTCGTGCGCCACATTATTTCTATTGTGGATCAGCGAAATAGACTTGTTAGGGCCTAAAGTAGAGCTTTCCTAGTGTCGATTCCACATCCACATTCCTGTTCTCTGCAATGGTTTTAACGACTGGATTTTTATTGGTATTATTTTGAATTTCTAATCTCAATTAAATATAAGATTACTTGCACAATGTCTGATGAACTAAACATTAATATAAAACGGTCATTGAGTCGCTACTGAACGTACATCATGGTAGATAGATGCTATGTTATAAATTAAACGAGTACCTACCTAGAAGACGACTAGTGTTAAGTGTTAAGCAATTAAAATCAGATAATGGACGTCAAAACTTGAAAGAAATAAACTTGTACGAAACAAAGAACGATCTCAAATGCCTTGTGATTGTAAGATAGATCAGCAAATAATTACGGTTGTCCGCACTAAGTTGACCTTTCTGTCTAGTTGGTATTGCGAAACCGACCGACTGCCCACTGTGAATGTAAGTAAATATGATGATCTTCGGGTTTCATGATGTCCTTGGCCCTTACTGTACCTCTACAATAAAAGTAACGTGAGCCTAAATATTAGGTTCCATTATATGTTGCTTGTAGATGTTTTTTTTACAATTTCGTAGACCAAAATAGGTAGGTAATGTAAAGAAAGAGTACCCATCACCTAGTTCATATAAGTAGTTATTTTTACAGGGTGGATTTTTTAAACATTTGATGGTGTGGACTGAAGCAGCAAGGAGGTATTGTATTCAGCCTTAGCTTCAGAATCGGCCACAGGCATCTGATTTGCTCATGTAACGACCATTAACTATCTACCTAGTTTAGAGACAGTGCGATAGGGCTAAATGCTACTTCCTCCGAGTACGCAACATCATAATGATGTTTTGAGAGGCTTAAGAGTCGGCATATTCAAAGTCGGCCAGTAAGTACTTATTCATTGAACAACAAAGCACACTCTCGAAGCAATTGTCACGCATGATTGTTAAGCTATAAAAATTAGTTAATGTTCCTTGATTGCTATCGGGTTGAAAGAGTAACAAATGATGAAACCAACGTAAAATGCACTTATTAACATGCCTGAGCAATAATAATTACCTAAGTTTTCACACGGCTCGATTCACTAGATCTTATTTTGTAAAAAATATTTTTTTTAAATCCCAGGAAAAATATAAATTACATTTGAATAAAAGTAGTACCTATAGATTCTGATGGCGCAGGGAATGGGTACGAGTGGGGCCGGATGAGAATTTTTTATTAAAAATATATTTTTTTCTTGCTGCAAGCTTTTAATAAAATTGTTGGGAAGACTTAGAACTATTGAAAATACTATAGTAAAATTTATACATTAAAAAAACGCAGCTAGTCCTCCACTTTTTGTCGCTTGCCAAGTATCGAATGTATTAATAATGTTTATTATAACAGCTTTAGCCAATGACCATGATACTGACCTTAGTTGAGATATGGTGTGAATCCTTTCTCACTTACGCATCAACTCATACTTTCAAATAAAAAATATAGGTACCTAGGTAATTAATGTTTACCCATCATGACAAAAGAAAGATGAAACCAATGCAACGGTTGTGTGTGGTTTCCTGGTGCGTTCTTGTTTGTATTGTGTTATTAAGATATACAGGGTGCAACGAACAGACTAGCAAAAATTTTAACTTTTACTGATAAAATTAAATGTAAGTACCTAAACATATTCTAGTGCAGTCAGTGTAGAGTCAGTGCATGTGTAGTGTACGTACCTGCTTACATTGAAAAATTTACTAAATATAAAAACAATATTATTGCTACAAAGAGACTAATGATGTCGGATTTGATAATAGTGATCCGAGTTACCTAACCGTTTAAGTTTTTGCCATCTTTTTTTTATGCATAATAATAATGCCTAATCTTGCGCCTTATGTAGGTACACTCTGTACTTATAATTTTATTGTTCTTTTTAGGGTATCTATCGTAGGAAAAAGGAACCCTTATAGAAAGGTTTCGTTGTCATATCAAGCAAGCACTTTGTCTTGGAAAATTGTAACTAATAATAAGATGGTAGAGTTGAATCAAATAGGCACGACTTAGTCTTTTTAAGACATAAAAAGTCAAGCTCCTGAATGTTGTTAACACAATAAAAAATCGGCCTTTGATGCGCTGTTTTGACTCGGGCCAATTAAACAAAGCTATATCAAGCAAACTGCAACGTTTAGGTATAAGTAATCTATATCTATATATATAAAAGAAAGTCGTGTTAGTTACTTCGCTTATAACTCAAGAACGGCTGAACCGATTTAGCTGAAAATTGTCAGGGAGGTAGTTTAGAGCCAGGAGAAGGACATAGGATACTTTATATCCCGTTCGAAATTAAAAAAAAAGTCTGCTTATTTATTGCCATTAAGGCGGAACAAAGTTCGCCGGGTCAGCTAGTCTATATATATANCAGCTAGTAAGAAAATAAAGACGACGTGGACCTAATGAAAGAGGAAAAGGTGGACGGGATAGTGGGAGGAAGAAAAGTGAGCTTCGGCTACGGAACCCTTAGTTCGTAGACTCTCACTTGACTGTTTTATGCTGATCATCGCTCATAACTTTTTATAGAGTAATCCGATTTTGATGATTATTTTTTATTGGATAGCTAGTGCTAATTGATTAATTGTGATTCGGCAACAAAAACAAACCAACAATTAATTACATAAAGCGTAAAAATATGGCAGCGAGATGTCTAGTCGACGAAATCAGGAAGTTGACTGATTCCATCAATACACAACTAAATAATATGTCGGTGCTTCTAACCC